TACGCAACTCACGCACGAGGGAGAGACGGCTTGGCCGGCAGCAGGCAGAAGCACGGGAGCAACTTGTTTGAGGATCTCAGAGGGGAAAGAATGGTTAAAAATACGGCTATGTTGTTGAAGAACTGAGCGAGATGGAAATCAAAGTAATCAGGCCGTTAAACTCGGTAAGAAATTAAGAGGCCATTTCATCCCACTTAAAGACAGCTAGCAATAATCGATTTGCTGTCAATTTTCATCACCCAAAATAAGGGTGTATATGTGTATGTGTGAGCGTGTGCAGGCATGGGACCGGGGAGGTTGGAGGTTGATCGCGGATGTCTTCCTCAGCTGCTCGCTCCGGTATTTTTTTGAGACAGTGTCTCTCTTTGAACTGGCTGCTCCGCTTTTTCTGCTAGGCTGACTGGCCAATGAGCTGGAGGGATCCGCCTCCCCAACCCTCCCCACAGGGCTGGGGTTCCAGAGCGTGCTGCAACAGCAACTTTACCAGAGTTGTAGCGATCTGGATTCAGGGCCGCATGCTTGCACAGCAATCTTTTCACTGACAGGGCCATATTCCCAGCCTCGCCAGAAAATATATAGAAATATATAGAAAATATCCTCTGTGTGAGGATAGTTTAAAAAAATCAATTGTAGTGCTGGGCGCTCTACAGAGCCTAGTTCCAGGATAGCTAGGGCTACACAGAGAAATCTTATCTTCAAAAGAAACAACCAACAAAATAAATAAATAAATAAATAAATAAATAAATAAATAAATAAATAAATAAATTCAATTGCTTATCCAGGTGTGGTGTAGGATGGGTGCTCTGTAGGGTGGGTACCTTGTAGCCCCAGCTACTGGGAGGCTGAAGCAAGAATACCACTAGAGTCCAGGAGTTCAAGTCCAGTCTAGGCAAAAAGGCCCACTCCAAATTCAACTGCTTTCAAAATTTAAGTATAGGTCTTGGGATCCAGTTCATGCTTAGTATGCTGAGACTCTGATTTGGATGCCCAGCACCAATGTTCTCTTTCTTGTTCTCCCTCCTTTTTAATTTCTCCCCTCCCCCCACACCTCCCAAAACACAGTTTCACAGTTTCCTGGTTTAAATCTGAGCCAACTCTTGTCTTCACAGGAAATCTTCCTTCGCACTCTGCGTAACAACTGTATGCACCCGCGAGCCCAGAGTTGTGTGCAGGGTGTGCACTTGTGCATTTGCTGTAGTGGTATGGGCATGTGTGCACTACGTGTGTGTGCAGTGCAGGGTGTGCTTACGTGTGTGCACATGTCTCTATCAGAGACACGTAAGCAGCATGCAGTTCAGTACAGAACATGAAACAAGTGCTGACAGGTGTGTTTAATATTAAAATCTGTAGTTCTACTGATGTTCTGAATTCTTTTAGAATAAAACGGCTGACGGTCATTTTATAGGGATGAAGTAGAGCACACAAAAGCCACATTCAGCAAAGCTTACTCTAGTACATGGATGGAAGAAAACCCCGTTTAATTTGGCACAACCAGCAAGTCATTCAGTCATTCTTATCAGCAGAGATTCCCAGGTTTGGCTACACCTTCTGGGGGATTAAGAGCACCCAGGAGGGGATGTGGGCGCAGACTTGATCAAGGGCTAGTGGGCGGGGAGGTGGGTGAGCCTGAACAGAGGGAGACTGAAGAAAAGATTAAGGGGCTCTACTCACTACAGGCGCTGCCCAGGCCTGCGACCCTGACCCTGATTCCAAAATCCCGAAGCTTAACCATTTCCTCCTCTCAAACCAAAGCCATCCCTGAGTCTGGCAGTTCGACTCTCCAAACCTTGCGTCTCCGCCCCGGGGTGGCGCCATGTGCCC